AGCCCCCCCCCCCCCCCCCCCCCCCCTTTCGTTGACCCCACTTGAGAAATGTCATAGAAACAACATCGAATGTTGATCTAGAACTGGACTTTTTCGACTTAATGGGCGGTTCCTTTTAACACCCTCCCACCCCTACCGTACCCGCGGGCCAGTATTTTCTGCATCTTAAAATCCTTAGCAAAATTGTTTATACTTCTGCGACAGCACCTTCAGTGCATCGCGGTGCATTTGCTCATATGCAATACTATCCACTCTTCCGGGGTTTCAGAGATAAAAATAAAGCTTCTTTTAAGCTCGTTACTCAGACTGAGTTTATTAGTACGGCGAAAGAATTTGCAGCAAAACCATGCAACCAGATACCTTCTTGGCATGAAAAAAGAACATATTTAAATACTTTCAAAAGGAAGCTTTCGAGACAGTTCAGATAAGTTCAACAAAGAGAGAGTAAAACAGCGGACCGACCCGTGTCCTCAAAGTTCCACGGTTCAGAGGCGGGTGACACTCAATGCGGGCGATCTATGGGAGCAACCTATTATGAGCCGGAGAACTTCATATTTCTTATAACACCTCAACAAAATAACCTGTCCCCATAATATCCAACACCACTGCTGACTTATGGGACAAATTGTCTTGCTGTGTGAGTCAGTGTGACGTTTTCAAAGACGTTTCAACCCTGGTGTGTTGAGTTTGTTTTTAATTGGTAATAAGTCGTAAATGTCAGAAATCAACTACCGCTGCGGCGTCTGTACACCGTGCCAGACAGATGCCCTATATTTGAAAGCTTTATGTTGTTACTCACAGGTCATATGGGGCCTTCATTGCAAACATGAATAAAAGATATTGTTAACTTTACTTTGCGGGTCTACTCTACGTCGCACACTCCTTAATGTCAAGCAGGGGCGGATGCAGAGATATTTTCTGACAGTCTTCCAAATTATCTTTGTTGATGCATCCTCATATTTGACCGTCTTCCGACAGAAAAAGTTAGATACCCGTCTATGTAAACTTGGAAATCTGACCGTCTTCCGGAAGACCCAGAAGACAGCCTAAATCCGCCCCTGTCAAGGTGTTTCTTTTTGTTTACGCGGTTAAAGAAGTGTCAAACATCTTTTAGCAGCGTTAAAATGTTATCGTTTGCGTTGTGAAATAGCGTGCATAAAGTGAGAGTCGTCCAATCCAAAAACTGTGAATATTTTTTCATAATATTCAAGTCATGTTATTCTGCCGCGACAGACATGAAAGCCTATATACTTCGGTGTAAACGCACCCTGAGACTCGGGATCTTTCAAGATCAGGATTCTTCCACCGGTAATACGCGAGTATAGAAGGGACTATCACTATAAGCAGCCTTTGAACTCAGGGTAACCCTATCAGACCGGGTCAGATTAACCGGAGTCATTACGTTTACATAGATCAGGCAGCGCAGTAGGTGCGCCGTAAAAACAGTGTTTAAATAGAATATGCTGAACGGAGAGTGCAAAACAACGTTGGTGCACTTGTTAAGGAAAATAGCAGCGTCTCAGATAGTTTTACCTTCAGAGTCTCGTCCGATCCCTTGTAGCCGCTGTTCCTCAGCGTCTGTGCGAGCTCGTCAAAGGTCAGACTGCCGCTGCCGTCTTTATCGGCATTCTTGAAGAATGCCTCGAATTTTGCCTGCTCTGATGCCATAATGATTCGTACGTGGTTGGCGAGTTGATGAAACCGTTTGGTTGTGAGCGGGAGAGAGAAAGTGCCGACCGGTGATATATTCTGCTCTACTCGGGCGGGGTATTAAATGACGTCATGATGGTCTAATATGTTTCAGGTGGGGTAAAGATTGGTGCGGCACGCAGGAATGTGAAGCAAGATAATAAACGATGAACAAGGCATATCGCTTCGTTATCGTCCATTTTCATGCAACCGTGATCGGCAAATGCATTACATTCGTGTGCCACGTACACTCTCTGGCTTAATCGTGGATCTTAAAATGAAATGTTTTCAAAAAATCAAAATGCACAATAAAAATTTTAAACAACTCAGTGAGGTAGGCCTAGGTGTCAATAACAGCCATTTAGGCACACAGTATAATACAAATTCGGCGCGCTTAAAACCCAGCTGACGGGCATGTTAGTTGCTTATACTTTACTATCCATTATATACACCCAAATCCATCCATGGATTGTCTAATAAAAGAGCGTTTTATTGAAAAAAAAGGGATTAAATAAGGTGGTCAACAAAACGCTTCAATATAGATCATGTAAAAGTTAATGAAGAGAAATATACCAACATAAATTTACAGTGGTTAAGAAATCGTGGTCGTTGGCTTGAGTTAAATTTCAAGAACACCAAGTGTCAACACCCCGTCATCTTGACTATTTGAAAACCGAACGTATTCACGTGTGAACATTGCGGCTGTTATTGTCCATTTTCATTTTTTTAATCTGCATCATTTTTGTCCAAAGAATGTTAAGGGTCATCCATTTTTATCTTCATTTAAAAAAAGTGATGATCCAAATCTCTGTCAAAGTTCATCATTTTTGGCTTTCACCTTGTTATTGTACTCTCCGAGGGACAGAGTCTTTGAAGTTGAAGATAAAAATGGATGAACCTTTGAGAGAGAGAGAGAGAGAGAGAGAGAGAGAGAGAGGGGAGGGCGGGGGTCCCTTCACCATGGTAACAGCGAGAGAAGACTGAGGAGACCCCTGGTGGGGGGAGGGGGTAGAGGGCGCCATTGTTCTGACTAGCGTGACAGATGAGACCCGAGAAATACCATGTACAAGTACACCAATCGCATTAATGGGTCTGCCTCCACCTACAAGGACGCATTTAATGTCAAACCCCAGCAAATGAAGGCTGAGAGTAACGGATGTTGTTAATTTTCCAATATAGTTGTGTTTTCATACAGATATACATAATTTTAATTTGCAGTAACTAAAACAGAAAACGAACAAACGCAGGCATACACACACAAATACACACATTTTGAATAAACAAAACATGAGAGTGATATCTTCATTATATATTTATGCAAATATCGAGATCAATTTAATCAGTAATTTCATCATTAAATTTAATTTCTCCCTTGCTGATAACTTGGATCAGCTAGGGAGAAAATACATTTAATGTAACCTGTTAATTACAGGGACGGATCCAGAGATATTTTCTGACAGTCTTCCAAATAATCTTTGACCGTCTTCCGACAGAAAACATTAGATGCCCGACAATGTAAACTTGAAAATCTGACCGTCTTCCGGAAGACCCAGAAGACGGCCTAAATCCGCCCCTGAATTATATCTATCACTATAGGGCACGAGGGGCTAAGGGAAGAGTTTATCTGCTCCCTCATTTTAAAACAGGTCATTCCTAAGTGCACTTTACAGCTGAAATGCATGGACGGTAATCTGGTGTACCTATACGACACACCGAGGTTATGAAGTACTTGGCATATAGAAGAGGTTTTTTTTCTAATGCAATATTTTCATTTTAAAATTTGTTACCCCCTTGACAGTGCTACTACATATACTATTATTATTATTATTATTATTATTATTATTATTATTATTATTATTATTATAAGTAGTAGTAGTAGTATCGATCTACTCATGTTTGTTTGATTTCCTCATCTCCGGAGCCAAATGTTTGTAAATCTTATTTTTTTATTACTTACAAATTGTCAAACTACGCTATCATTATATCCAGAGAATCTTTGAATCTTAGAATGTATAATATTTGACCGTATGTTTCTCTGCGTTATCACAGGTAAACCTGCTGTAAAGTACATTTTATCGAGCACTGAACTTGGACTTCATTTCTGTGGTGTCGGGCAGAATAGCCACATCTGTAAATAACTGTAAAAAAGTTGACAAATAAAATGTTTAAACGGATATTAGATCTTAGACTCGATCAAGGTAAAATATAATATTTTTAACTAAATAAAACAAATGAAAAATGAAATAAAATAAATAACAGAATTAAAATATTTAGATAAAGTTGAAAAAGATTACGGTGATGATGGAAAGAAATTAAATTTAAAAAATCCTAAATCAAAAGAAGGCATTGCATGCGATTGTTATACAGGATGTTTATAGGTTGGTACACTTAATAATGCAAATTCCAAAAAGCGACTGGTTTTCTTTCTCCAGCCGATATTCACTACTTGGGTTAGCAAGAATTAATCTATCCATTTAACTTTATTTATTGCAGGTAAAAACACGGCTAATATAAAATTTATCTTCTCCATGGTACAATTAAATAAACAAAAATAAAAATATTATCAATATAACAATAAAGGGTTTATAGAAATTGTTGTCAAAAATAAATTTTAGCAATCCTTTTTTTTATATATAAAACTTAGATAGGCTGACTTAAAACGCTCTTATGCTTTTGAGTCCCTAATGAAGTTTTCGAGATTATCCCATAAAAGTACAGATATAAATGGGCCCATTAATTTGAACTTGGTTTGCAACCAGGTTAGTATAATTAATATTGTGTCTCTATTTCTGTGTTCATGTGTGTGTGTGTGTGTGTGTGTGTGTGTGTGTGCATGGTTACGTTCTGTGTAAAAAGCTCAAAAAAAGGACTATTACACACTCCTAGGCAGTGCAATCTAATTTTCTTTTTTCTTTTTACTCCGCACAAAAAATCAAACAAAAACATTTTATTTATTTTTTCATATGTTTACTCACTCTTTCAAGATTCTGTAAAATATATTTATTACTTTCAAAATTAAACACAAAATTAGAGTCAGCTATGTGCGAAATATTCTAGATGACCGTCTTGAAACTACCACTAAGAAAATCCCCAAACACCGGCAGCAAAATCTCTTTTAATTAATTTTTTCCCAATTCTTGACAAATAAAGACATTAAAAAATTATTTCATAAATAAAATAAAACATTTTCAGGTTTTTATAAGTTTGTACATGGGGGATAACATTTTTGTTTCATTTAGCTCGGCAAATGTAAAATAAAAAATATAAAAAAAATCAGACAAAAACAAATTTTCGCGTAGACTATAGAAAATGAGAAAATTACGTGGTTTTGTCTTTTTAGATTATTGTACTTTTTTTGTTAACAGTGGGCGACAGCTTAAAGAAGTGGTTTAGTTGATGCGCTGAAAACCACGGACATGTCAGATTAAAAACTAACTGCTTCCTAAAGAGCACAGATTATTTACTGATTTGTTTACAATATAAATACAATAAATCAACGACCAAAAATTGAAGACATCTGGAAAACGTAGCACACGTTTGGAAGTGACAACGGCCTACTACGTGGCAAAATCAAATAACGAAGTATATGATATAATATTAAACAACTTAGTGCCTGTATATTAATCAAACGATATGAAATTATTACCAGAAGAAAGTACGCGAACTATATAAAATTATGGACAACAATTAATCTTAAATAATATGTATAGATATAAATTGCTTAAAGATGAATTTTAGATCAAATTTTATAACTTGATTAATTAATGTCCAAAAATCACGTTCTTGACACAAATGTTCTGAATAAATCAACTTTGTTGGTCCGTTTTTACGAAAATGCCTCAATTTTGACGTCATTATATATACTCCTATCTTATAAAAATTCTAAATTATGAATGATTTCCCTCCTCTACACCCATTTTTAAATGGGTGTTTCATATAACATTAAAATGGAGCCCCATGGCACTTTTTTTTGGCTGTGGGGACACCTTGAAATGAAACATTTAGACATCAAGGATCAAGAAAATATAAGTGCCCATTTTTTGCTACTGGGTTGCACGTGGACCACACTGCTTATATTTTTATGTGTTTGCTTGTTATGTAACATATGAAAAGAATAAAGCTCTTAAATAAATGTAACGATAAAGATACTTTTTTCTGTAGGTAGGCCTAATGTTGAGAAGATATGGCGGCTAATTGAATAATTTTGCACCAATCAATTGTTTTAGTCTAGAGAAATATGCTATATTATGGAACATTAGACAAGGATAAAAATCACGAGTAGAAAACCTTAAGATAATCGAATTTTTATAATCATGAAAACTTGATCGACTTATATCGTGTCATGGGTTTGATGGATCCGTCTATTCTCCCTAAGGGAGCTCTTCTGTTCGGGGAGGATCAAATTTTCTGTGACGCCAGTTTATTTGGAGGTCAGCTGATCGATTCAGGTCGAACGTCTTTCTGTCTATTTTTCTTGGATTAAACTGTCTAAGCAATATGTAAGTAATTTTTAGCTTCTTGATACTAGTTAATGGTTAGCTCTACGAGTCTATATAGTCCACAAGCTGGTAGTTTGCACGGAAAACAGTGCGACGCATGTGGGATATTTTGTTTTTTATTTTGCACCCTGGTTTGTTAGACCCCGGAGGAAGTGGAGTTACAAGCAAGGCCAGGTGTTTTTCCTACCACCTGTATCAAAATACCAACACCGGATAGCATCCAAGATAACTAATCTACACAGACCTTGTTAGTAGCAGGGTTATAAGACACAGCTGATAACTGACTTTGGCGGTCGTGTTCTGTGAATGCAGTGTACTGTACCAGACGAGGAAAGAAAACCGCGACTTCCATATCCTGGTTGGTGTACTGAGTATATATATTTAGTATGAATGATCTTAATTTTCACTGGCTTGCGTCTTATCGAGGCCAAAACGGACATGAACTGCATCCAACCCAGCTGAGAATGTTCAGATTATTTGATTACAGGGAGCATGTCCTGGTCATGCTGACTTGTGAATTTGCATACCAATAACTTGAATACAGTACTCTATATATTAGTTCACTGAAAGAAGAAAGTCTTGGGCACATATAGTCCCAGTAGAGCTTAATTGGAGATTATAAGAATTTATTTTGGTTGCAGGCAGTTTTATTAAGGTATGTGTTAATTAGTTCCAAAGTGTTCCAAGATATAATATAAGTGAGGTGACTCATCAATGCTTGTTTGTACTAGTACCTGTACATGATAACATTTACAATCTACAATGTAGGTTGTTATGGCCACTTTTTATTGATTATCTATTTGTTTATAGGTCTTTTTTGTTTGTTTATTATTCCAAGGCACAAGATTCATGTTGACCTACTATTGCACATGTATCATGATAAATGAGGCAATCTTCTATTGGTATGAAGACCTGTTGACCGTCGGGCTCTGTTTCCTTTACTAAGTCCTAACACACGCATGCATGCATGCACACATGCTCATATGCGCACACACAAACATAGGCACACCTGTTCCATAATCCTAGATAACATTATATACGGTGTGCAAAGAATAATAACAACTATTCAGCAAACAGGCTATTGAATGCCACAGTTAAAGTATGCATTGGAAGGATCACTAAATGCTACCAAAGGGAAGCATTAAATATCTCAGCATCTGCGGCAGTACCATATGTTATTGGCATTTTGGGACAAAGAAAACATAGGTATGACTTAACTGTGTGCACATATTATTTGTGTGTACTTCTTGTCTTTTTTCATGCCAAAAAATATGAAATGTTAAGACTTGCCTACCATTCAGGGTAGTGAATAGTTGCAGGTTTTGAACCGCATTAAAATAGATCCTTATCTCATAGTCTGTTCAATGTTACATGGGAAACACAACACGGTATATTTGATAATCAATAGTTGTACATATAAGTTCTCAGGATTAGCCCACAGCTGAGTCTACTACATCTGGGCACTTCAATCAACCCTGGACTGTTAACTACTGTCTTTTGTTTTCAACCTATAACAAGGGATGAAAGGCCCCATTCAGAATGGATGATCCGAACAGTTACTGATCTGTCGACTAAATACTAGTTTGGCTGACCACAGTTCAAAAGCAATGCTGCTGATTCCTGATGGTCTCCCCGACTCCACACGCACTTTTAAACGGACTAAATCTCTGCTCCAAGGTTTAATTGCTAGGCCCCTGTAGTGACAGCACGTGTGGAGGTGGAAGACCATCACGAATCAGCAGCATCACTTTTGAACTGTGGTCGACCATATTTAGTTACTGATTAGGCCGATCAATAAGTACTTGGTTCATCCATTCTGAATGGGGCCAAAGTGTTATTTCCCCGACTTTTAATGTAATGTCCATTTTCATTTCTGTATATATATTGCATGCTGTGAGCTCTGATGGATTTATTGTAATCAACATACTCAAGTCATTACTGATGTAACTAAGGCCATTTTGGAAGCTGTTGTGAGTAAGTGCTGCGAGAAGCCAGAAGGACATTAAAAGCAGTATTTAGGTTGCCAATAGAACGGTTCAGTAATTGGCTTGTTTGTGCAGTCTAGTTAAGACCGGAGATCAGTCCACATTGCCTGGTCAACTGCTGACATATATGATTGAAAATTGGCAAGTTGTCTTTGCTGTGTCGATTACAATAATACTGGTGGGTAATCAGCATGATGTCCAAGGGATTGTCTACATCTTTTTAAGGGAAGGTCATGGAGTACCCTACATTAATCCTGGAGATAGCGCTGCATTATTAGAGCCCATAACAAAAGTATGTGAGTTTTGGGGTCGAAGTAAATGCAAATGTAAACACATGTATCCAAGATTGTGTCTCATCTGTTCATTTAGTGTTACTAGGTTCATACCAACTAAAATGCTGGCAGCGCGCGTACTGTAATTTACTGTGAAAAGTTAGTTATTGATTTTTTTCTTTTAGTTTAAGCTGACTTGGGGAAACCATATGTGTCTAGAGCAGGCTTAGGCCAAGAAGAGATTCTATAGAGGCCAATTGGTAATCTTGTTTCAGCTGTCTGAGAAGATGTGGGATGGTGTGGTCTGGTGATGAGAGACCGCTGTCCAGTTATAATAAACTGACTTAAGGTGAGCCAAAATGTGGTTGCCAAAATGGGTGTATGTGGGCACGCATGCGCGCATGCATGCCTGTATCTTTTTATCAGCTTCAGATTTTCTCAAGGAAATATTGAAGAGATTGAGTTTTTTTTTGTTCTTAATTGTTTTATGGTTAATGATTTTTTTAAAGATTTTGCAGTCACTTACGTTATATGTGAATATGCAGGAATGTTAGTCTTTGCTTGTGTTTGCACATTTGTCTTTTGTTATTTTTAAATATTGATAAATCTATACTGTATTTTCAGTGTATGCCACTATGAAGGGTACCACAACTCTCCATGTGATGACTTCTCACAATATCATATTCATTTTACTCCAATAGTAATTCTTCATCTTTTCACTGCAGTACTGTGATGGCGAAGGTGACCACCGCTGAACCCCTGGGTCCTCCTCCAGGGGAGGTACCCCAGAGCAATCCCGACGTCTTCAGCATAGTAAAGTGGCCTGCTGCTTACTGGTATAAGAAGAAAAGGCGGTGGATATATGGGAACTTTTACATGTTCCATGACTGTATTATCTTTCATCATGAGAAGCAAAACAAACGGCTCATCCAGGTATTGACCCTTATACAATGTACTGAGTATGCCATAGCCATGCTTTGTATTTCAAACTATTAGTCATTAGCATGCACTTCTTTTATGATTGCCATATTTCTTTAGAATATTTGGCATCTTTGGAATATTTGTCACAAATATTTGTTATCAAAGTGATGTTTTTAGTGCCTAATTTAAGTCTGATAACATCCAACACTTCTCTATTAATTGAGAGCATTTTTCGTTGTTCTATAAGTGATGCAAAACCTACTTGTATGTGTAATAGTCTACTACTAGAGAGTGTGATCAGTACCATTTTAACCCTAGATGATTGACTTTTCTACATGTGACAACACATTTAATGAGATTTGATCTAAAACAGCAAGTCTAGGACTAGGCACAGGTCATGTTACAACAGTCACCCTTTTGCCTACCTGAATTAAAAAGGGAGTTTCTATTTGTGGGTACCAGTGATGTTGGTTTAGTGATATGTTTCTCAGATTTATCATTGTCATGAGTGGATTTGTTTTCTCAGTAGTGTAAGGTTAAAGGGATAACAACTCTTGTATTTTACAGTAAAAATATGGTAAACAGCTCACAGAAATATAATATATTCTGTTTTACTACAAAATCGGCAGTTATAGCAATTATTCTGAAATCTGTACTTGTCATTG